TGGTGTCGAATAAATCTGTGTCGAATCGAGCGGTGTCGAATCGTACTGTGGTCAATAGAGTATCACCCGGAAATAACACATGCTCATAGAAAGCATCGCAACAAGCTCGGTGCAATACTGGGTAACAAGAGATACAAATACAGATACATAATTGCACCTTTAATATCCAGTGTGCGTACTAAGCAAGAGAAAGGTATACCGCGTAATATGACGTTAAACGATCGTAAGATCAAGTACGCGCACTAGACGATCCCAACGAACTTGTCAACCGTCTGCGATTGCTAGACGCATCCCGTCAGGCGGGCAACAATGCTCATGACAACAAAATCCTGTCGATCATCGAGGAACTGCGCAAAGCGGGATTCATTATAAATTAAATAGCGTGTCGGCGTTAGAGTCAGTCAGTCGTGTGCGCGTCATCATGCGAATCAACAAATTTGGGATATCGCTCGGAACACATGGAGCGTCTATGTATTATTATGAGAGAGAAACAATACTGCGTAATACCGTTCTCTGTTTTGTCGGTTCCAGTTACGATGCAAGGTCGCGTAAGATACTGCATGTAGCGCACCCTGATACCGACACTGACGCCGCCAAGAAACGATATGTAGATATGTGTGGTACGAGTGTGAATGAATGGCAAGAGACACGTGAGAAAAAAATTATTGCATTGCAGCAGGATGTGCAAGCGTTGCGCGACGCTATAAAACACATTCAGCGTACACTTCAATATCTATCAACCCAAAATAACACGACTGACACGCCGGAGTAAACATATAGTAAGACAATTATGGCGACAAATCGTTCTACAATCAAAAAACAACGTCTCGTAGAAGAATTGCATGCTCCGGCAAGAAGAAATTTTCCCCGTAGACGCGTTATCGTACGCGGGTACGATGATCTCTGGCAAGCGGATGTGGTAGAGATGCGTCCGTATTCGCGCTTCAACAGAGGCTACCACTACATACTTACGGTTATCGATGTGCTGAGCAAATACGCGTGGGCCATACCACTTAAGAGTAAGAGTGGATATAATGTCGCCAAAAGTTTTGCAGGAATATTTCGGAATAACAAACGATGTTCAAACAATTTGCAACCTGACCGTGAAAAGAAATTCTACAATCTAGATGTGCAAACACTGATGACGAAGCATAACATTAATCATTATTCCACATATTCTGTTATAAAGGCTTCAATTGTAGAACGATTCAACCGTACGTTGAAGAACGACATGTGGGAACAATTTACACTTAAAGGAACTTACAAATGGATCGACATATTACCGCGTTTTCTTATGAAGTACAACGCAAGAAAACATCGAACTATCGGTATGCGACCTATCNATGTTACCCCAGCAATCGCCGAGAAGCTTTTAACCACGGTGTACAGCAATGTCAAGATCGCAGGGCCAGCACGATTTAAAGTAGATGATACGGTCCGTGTGAGCAAATTTAAAACAGTATTCGATAAAGGATATACGCCAAATAGGACGACCAAAGTATTTAAAATCAATAAAATACAAACGGCCTATCCTGTGACGTATCTGCTTGAGGATTCACGCGGACAATCTGTTGCTAGAGAATTCTATGAATACGAACTGCATCGCGTTGCGCAAGAAAAGTGGTGCGCATGGTATTGCGGAAGAAAGGTGACAAGGTTTACGTAAAGTGGCTAGGATTAGACAAGTCATACAACTCTTGGATAGATAAAACTAATGTATTGTAAACACACTATATACAGAATTTATATTTATATACAACATATGTACATAATTATTACACATATTAAATGACAATATACATCTAATCTATATTATACACGGTTTTTTTGTGGTATTTTGTAATATCCCCATGATAACGTTTCGGTAGAATCGGGTACCATGTACCGATTATCGTTGTACGGACTTAGAGCAAGTTGTGATTCGGACACAGTGTATACTTCGTGTAACTTTGATCGTATACATGACTGTCAACAAATCTTTTCGATTTCATCATTCAAACATTGTTTGTAATCGTCAAACATTAATGTTAACGCTACGATGCTACTCTTTACACCTTTGGCCTTTTTCGTGTCTTTCTTTCTATCTACCTTTAATTCATACATTTTCGCTCTAAGTCCGACGAATTCAGTCATTATCATTCCGTTATTTTCATCCTCCATCAATCCTGGAACCTTTTTGTTTACGCGTGGCATACTGTACACGTCATCAGTCGGATAATCACTCGTGTCGAATCGAGCGATGTCACGTTTCAAGATATCGTACACGTTCTCGCATTCGATGAAATAAATGAGACTGTCTGTGANGGTGTACATAATTTTACATTTTTCTTGGTACAGAGGTGCCATGTAATCGTGGTGAAATTCACACAAACACGTCTTAGATATGTCTAATAGACACATTCCTACGTAGATCGGTTTGTTGAATTTCACTTCGAGTTTACGCAATTCAATCGCAATAAAATTTTCAGAAAAGACGATTCGACTATAAAAAGTTGGTTGGGAGATCAGATTGGTGCTTCCGCACTATATCTTCCATCCTTCTTTGTTACGAGTTTTACGTCTACATGGTTCAGCACATTTTCCATAGTTTTACCAAACACTGCGTTATTCATCAATTTGTACAAATTTTTCTCAAAGTCGTTGGTAGCGAGCGTTCGAAATTGTGTGTTTACTTCGATGTAACTGCGAAGCCACGGAGATTGCGCAAATTGTAATATGCGGTGGATCTTTGTAATACAAAGACCGTGTTGCACACATTATTGCAGGGCACGATAGTGAATAATATAACGCGATTTATCGTGTAGTGTTGCGAGCAGCTTCTCCTGTCGCGTGCCAGGCGGCTTATCGCGCGTCGGGCAGAACGGTAGGTCAACGTGCGCGTCATGCAGTTTGCGAGGATACTCGAGGTTGCTTTCAAAGATGTAACCAATACCTGAGGTTGCTGTCACAGACATCACGTCGACACTCCAGATGTTGTCTACTTATTGGAATGCGGCATACGGTAATGGCTGACACATTGCTCAGCCGTACAAGCTATTTATATCAAAGTACATAAGATACGACGTTGGTTTTGATGAGTCGTATGTCTGCATGTACTTGTTATTAGCGTGCGCGTATCTTGTGCTGCACTGGCTAAGACCACAGCGTATACCCTGTTTGATAAACATAACTATATCAACATCTGTGAGCAGGTCGAACGTTATGCCTGTGTGTTTCAGCATAGCGTCTCATGTGTAACCGGGTAAAGTAAAATAATACGCGAGATCTAATCCGTAACTTCAAATACAACTTTCTCGAAAATTCTCAAATATATCGGCCAATAATAAAACATCAATTTTCAAATATAAATCGCTGTATTCACCTAATGTACGTATAGAAAATCGTTGCCAGATGTATACAGCGTGTGCATATTCACTTTAAGATATCGTTTCACTGGTCAAAGAACTGTAAAATGACTTGCGCAGTGGTAAACGCTGCTCTTGCAACTTGTCAACACAGTCTATGTATTCGTATGACAAGATCCCTTTACGCGTTAATAATTCAAAGTTTTCGACGGATGAATTTCTGAATTGTGATTGTACAATTTTCAACTTGTATTTATGAAGAAACAATGCTAGTTTATCGAGACTAGCGCTGAGAAAATTGTACAAATCAATGAATCGCAATTCATATATATTGGTTGACTTTTGTAAGTGTTTTTTTCCGGTTGCGTCATGTTTTTGGAAAAGGATATATATCTCTTCTTGTTAATAGGGAGAACTGTAACTTTTCCTTCAAACGCAGTTGCAACCTCTTTAATAATAAAGTGCGCATCGTAACCGGATATATTGTAAAAAATTACTGGGATATCGTGTGAATCTTTATAATTTAAGTTGCGGTTGGAGTGCGCGGGACCTCTGTACCGACCGGTTATATGACAATGATCGCGAACTTTTATATCATCTGCTGCGAATGGTTTGTTGTGATCGGGGAAGATGAAGGACTTCGGTGAAGAATAAGATTCTTGTAATATAAACTGGCGTAGTTTATTACTATATTCTGTACAGTTAACGCACGCTTTACACTGGCACCTAGCCGTTGCTATACTGCGGTAAACTCTCCGGATGGACTCGGAGCCACACAGTATTCAACAGCTACTCACGATCTGTCTGTCGTTGCTTGCGATTAATCTTTTAAAGGGATCGATCGTGTCCACTCAGCAACTCAGCGACCTAATTGCTACTGCACGTATGCCGCTGACATTGCGTGCTGCGTCTGTATTCTACTTAATATTACGCTTAACAAGCAGATTTTATTTACGAGGAAATGCTGCTTGTTACCTTTTTAAAACAAATTCGGGTCGATTGAGCAATGACGCGTACCTCCCGCAATTGCTCAATGGCCCGTACGAAACTAAACTAAACCTCACTAAATTTCACAACATTTCTCCCCTTCTTGAAAGAAGGAAAATGTATCGCCATTTTCCGCTTATTACACTAAAATTCGGGTACCGCGTGCCCGATCTGTCGAGTACTTGGCTTTAGATCCCGAAGACTGAACATTTCTCGTCTTTCTTGGAGTTTCCTCCTTCGTAATTAAAAACAGAAACTCACGATTGTAACAATACCCAAGGTTACGCTTACCAAAGTCGGAAGAATAAAGTGCGGCTGCTTATAAAACGTGTAATCAGCAAGATCATTTTCTTCCGTAAGTTGCGTCGCAACTGCACCTTGTTCCGTGTTACGTCTTCCAGTTCCATGCCGTTATTATTCACATGTTCCCTTTTTCTTGGTGCCGTGATATTAAAACGCGGTAAGAACGTATTTATTCCTACGCCCTTAACTACTTGATTAGTTCGCACTATGATACTTGCTGTGGTCAACTCGCATTGCTCCGGCAGCTCTATTTCTCTGACTCCGGATATGACCTCTATTCTTTCCGACTTATTTTCGCACGTAACCCGCAAAGTTTCTTTTTTCAAAATTGAGAACAACCATACGCGCGCCTTTGTTAATCGTACCCAAATAGTTTGGTTAGAAACCATGTGGTCGATTTCACAGTCTTCGTATTTACCATCCTCGTTTACAAACATTTGTAACTCGCAGGGCGTTCCCTGCGAGAATCGATACATTGAATCCACATTTTTACACACATAATGATCTTGTACGCTTATACAATTATTCCACTGTGTTTCACTAAGTATAAAGTACGTTTGACGATTTGTGTCAATCGCTACTACCGGGTGCTTGACTCGCACCGCCGCGAATACGTTGTCCCGTTCATGTACTGGTAAGGGTATTACCCTGTACACATTGTAACTACCGGAATTGATCAATGGAAACTTAACAACCGTAAATATATTTGAGTCCTTGCAATAGACACTAACCGTGACAAACCTTTTACTTTCTAACCAGTTTTCTAGAATCACAGCAAAAGGAAAACGCAGGTCTCGCATGAACTGATTGTTCGCCTCCTTCAGGCTATGTATAATTTGCTCTAGTGGCACCACTTCTAATTTTGCAAATTTAGTGTGCACGTCGGTAACGTACTCAATTATTCCTTCGGCATCGAGTTCCATTTCCGATAGTAAACTGCCCAGCTCAAGGAAATAGTCCCTCAGCTCTTGTTGTTGTGCGTAGTCATCAACTTTCTGAGTTATTTTCTCTACTGCTTCACGCAGCTTATTCTCATTTCTTTCTAGAATATTTTCTACGTCGTCTACGTGAGCAATCGTGGCATTAACTACTTGTAATTGAGTTTTTATAGTATGCTGCAACACGGCCTGTTTACTTCCTATCAATTGCAGCTGCTCCGAGATCATTTTCTCGTCTTCTGCATTCATAGTGCCAAATAACACTTTGGCCACGGAACCGACTGCGTTCACTAGTCCCCTCCGACTGCGCGTCGATGTTCCTACTATCATTTATATTCTTCCTACTAACGTACTGACCTTGAATTTCCTGTGCCGTAACTCGCCAGAAAAACTGTCGCAGAACTCCTTATTATTACTAAATATCTTCTCATTGTCGCACAAATCTCTAGAACTATCCAACATTTTCTGCAATTGTTCTAGCCTACTATATATAGAAGTTACGTCTAGTCTTATTGCGAGCTTCCTTTCCTTGGAAGAACGGTACATCTCGCCCTGTTTTTCGAAATATATGCCAGGATTATGTTGGAACCTTTGAATCCTGAATTCTTGTCCTTGGGTCCCATCCCACGCATTACATACGGCAATTTTAAACAGTAAAATTTTTATCTTGTAAGATAATATTTACATTATTTCCTGCAACGTCGTATTCCTACGCTGTGTTGCCTATACATATTTCACTTTAGTCGCGGAGTAAACTGACTCGACTACGATTTCATTCGAGTTTAATTTTAATTTCTGGTGTCAAATTTATGCTAAACCGCGAATTTCTCTACTTTCCCCTTTCTTTCGGAACGGATTTTTCGAAACTTTACACTTCACCACCGAGTTAGTTCTTCGCCAGCCTTTGCGAACAACGGAAAAAATTTTTTTTTTATTAATTTTTGTTATTATACACATCTTAACAATGGCATCTTTATGTAGTTGATACGGATGCGCGGGTCGACCATCCGGGTCCCTCTGTGTTACTTGTTGGCTCGGTCTTCAATTTGGAGGTGAAGACTAGGCCAACTCCTGTGAAACTGTGAGTGATGGTGATAGTGACAGTGACTCGCGGGTCAGTATTACGAGCGCGGCTACCATTGTCGTGCTCCGAGACTCTGCGGATATCAACATTGAGGACCACGACTCTGCCTTGCCGGAGCCGTCCGTGTCATCTTCAATCGTCACTGTGACGGTCACCGACTCCGAGGATGAGGTGGTAACCCCGGAGCCAAAGGACTATTCCCCGGCCTCTCCAGATCCCGACGTGGTGTGCCTGGGTCCCCCCTTGTCGCCCGATCCTTCCGTTGTAACTATTTCTGACTCGGAGTGAAGCGGATTGGTAAGTACTTCTTTTTTTTATCTAATTTTCTATAAAGGCTTTTAGCCTGTTAACATGCACGTTTTGTGTGCGTCTTCTTGCTTTTATTGTATATGTAACGTCTGAAATTTTTGTTACTATTTCGTACGGTCCAACCCATAGTGATTCCAACTTCTTTGACCTTCCCCTTCTCAATGTTTCATCATATAGCAGGACCTTATTGCCAATTTTGAAAGATGCCGTTTTTGTCTTTTTATCGTATTGACGCTTCGCTTTTTCTTTTTCCTCGCGCAGATTTTCTCTCGCCACGCGATTTGCGGCGCGTAATCGCTCCTTCAATTCCTGTGCGTAATCTTCNAGATTATACTGCGTCGCCGGANGTTTTCTTAACGCNGTTGGCAATTCCGCCTGTCTACCATACACTAANTNAAACGGTGTAAACCCTGTGGCTGAATGTGGCGTAGTNTTGTACGCAAACATAGCGTACGGAATCCACTCGTCCCAATCTGTTTGATCTTCGTTTACGTAGTGTCTTATATATTCAGCCAACGTCCTATGAGAACGTTCTAAAGCTCCGTTACTTTCAGGGTGATATGCCGTTGTTTGAATTTTATTAATTCGTAACAATCTGCACACATTTTTAAACATTTCACTGACGAAATTCGTGCCTTTATCTGTTAATACCGTTTTTGGAATGCCATACTCGCACACTATTTTTGTAACAAATTCTTTTGCTACGGTCGCTGCTTCCTGATTTGAGATAAGTACTGCCTTACTAAACTTTGTCAAATTATCTTGGAAGGTCAACAAGTACTTACTTCCGTTGTTTGTAATGGTTAATGATCCGACAATATTAAGAGCGCATTGCTCAAATGGCTCTGCTGGAGTATCAGTGACGATCATTGATGCCCTAATTCTCTTTGTCTTATTCTGTTGACAAGAAGCACACCTCGAGATATACTCTTCCACATCTTTTGCAAGATGCGGCCAGTTATAACTTTGGCGAATTCTTTTTATGGTTCGCGCTATCCCTTGATGCGCTCCTAACGACGCATCATGATACTCATACAGTATCTGCTTCTTTTCTTCCTCCGTGAGTTCTTGTGCCTCACTTGTTTCTTTGCCTTCATTGATTTTCTCTGCTTTGTACGTACATACCTCAGGTTGCTCAATATTTTGGCTTAATGCATCTGCGTTGGTGTTGGCCTTCCCCTTTTTATAAATTATTTCGTACTCATACTCCTCGAGTTTTAATCGCCAACGGATTAATCGTGACCCGGGATTCTTGACACTAGTGCCAACCACACAAGTGCCCTGTGATCCGTTACGATTTTAAATTTAACGCCATATAAATATGGTCGAAAATGCTTTACGGCCCAAACTATTGCCAACAATTCCTTTTCCGTGGTGCTATAATTTCTTTCAGCAGTATTTAACACTCGACTTGCATATGCGATAGGCTTATCTTGTCCTACCGGGCCTTGTGAGACAGCTCCGATTGCGTAACCTGATGCGTCGGTTGTAACGATAAACTCCTTTGTGAAATCCGGATATGCAAGCAAATGGGCGTGTTCCGTTTGACCACAGTACGATTCGACACCGCTCGATTCGACACAGATTTATTCGACACCAAATTATTCGACACCGTACGATTC